CTCCTGCCTCCCATAAGCTCTGCTAGCTTTTGCTCTACGTCTTCTGTTCGCTCCAGGGTAGTAGCTTTCTTCATGACTTCTTGCTGACTTGTGTGATGCTGAAAGCTTGTTTTCTTCCTCTAATTTCTGTTGCACACTCTTAATGATATTGAACTCCTGGATTCAGCGAGGAAATGGAGGCTTTTAGAATGTCTTATAAAGAAGAACTACGAAAATTTCCTTTTCAGTGTAATAGACATAGATCAATATCCTTTCATTTTATTTGGCACTTTTAAATGATACTGAGTATCGCCTCCCAACACAGCCTTTCAAAAGTCAGCTTCGTATACAAAGCTAAATTAATAGTTACAGTAGTTCTTCTACTTAGGATAGTTCATTGTACAGTAATTTAGCTGTTCGTCTTTCCTAGCTCTAAGAACAAACACTAACGACAACAGACAGGGAGCAATAATCTTAAGGGGGAAATTTTGGATACAATCTCCAGAGGTCCTTCATTAGGCAATCTCTGGGGCTTACATATGCATCCCATGGGACTTGTGGTGCTTCTTGAAAAAATGAGAGCCTGCCACTCACCACTGCTTTTGAAATCCATTAAAAATATTAAAAAGCAGAGGTGGTCTTTATGTGGCAGAGATGATCGCAATTTGAAAAAACAAACAAACACCAAAAAACCCACAAGCCTAAAGCACAGCTAGAGACTCGAGCAAGCTGTGTTTGTGGCCATAGTTTGCTGTTTGTTGGCATTTTTGGTACACTTACGTTTAGAGTGAAGACTATCTGAATGATTTGAGGACAAAGTAGCAGTTAAACAGTTCATTTATCCCCAGTTGTTGGGACCTGATACTATATTTGAAAGGTATCTATTTTTTTTCCTTTATGAAAAAATAACATGTAAATGAATGTGCTATAGCCAAGGTTTAAAGAGTAGGACAAAGTATCCCAAGCTTTCAGTATTCCATATGGAGATCATTCCATTCCTAAAAATGTCTGCTGTTAAGACATCAGCTCTATACAAAGTACTATACATTTTCAAAGGCCTGACTTAGGAATGACGACATTAAAATGCACTGTTGGTTACAGAAATGGTTGTAAACTTTTGTTTAGTGTTTCCTGCAATTTGCTTGCAGGTGAAAGGGCCAAAGATGAATTGTCCAGAGTACTGCCACTGAGAGGGTTATAATGCATTCCATTTGAAGCAGCACTGGTGCAGCAAGTCCTAGAACTGGTGCACATGAATGGGCGCTAAATGGAATGTGCTTTAAGCTGCTTCTTGCAGCAAGTGCTGCCATGCGGCAAACAGTGGCTTGCCATAGCAGCTGGGTGGCTTTTATTCACACTACCACAAACATTGCATAGTGGCATGCAGGGGGGAAATCATTCTAGTCTCTACACATAAATGATATAGCACAATGAGGCAGTTCCATGTGGTTTTCATAGTGATTGTTTCATTATCCAAAAATATAGCAGATAGTTGTGCCATTAGCAGTACAGCATCCTACATGTTGGGAGCCATAGGCAAAACATGGTTTGCAGCATTTCTAAGAAATCCAGTTTTCAATTTGTCACTTTTATATGTTATGCAGTTAATGTATCCAGACTGGGGAAACCGTGGCTTTAAATATATAATTCCTAAGGTTGTACTAACTTTTTCATCATATATGCCAGTAGCCCATCAAATAATTACATTTATTTACAATTGGATATATTCTTCTCTTCAGTTTACTGCTTTTTATTCTTTTGCATGCTTTATTTTTCTTCTCTTCAGCTTTGATGAGCCTTCTTTATTTTTCCTCAGTTTTTTTGTTTTGTGTTGTTTTACCCAGAATGATTGCATATTGAAGCATAACTTGTGGGAGTTTTTTGCTCTCATGATCACAGCATTCTTCTTGCATACTTGCAGAATCTTGCCCCATTGTATCTGAAGAAAACAGAATCTTAAATGGTAAGTATTGGTGCAAACAGTATCGCATGTATTTTAAAACAACAACACAGAGATATACAAATCAGAGACATGCAGATCACTGGTGGAACTTCATATAGATATCTTTTTCTGACTAAGCGAAGGACCATCCCACTTTCACTCCAACAACTCTCTATCTAAGTTGCCTATACTGTCATGTGCTACTGTCAGAAATAAGATGGCACAGCAGAAAATGAAATAGAGAAGATAGAGCATTGGGCTACTTGAGAAAGAGAGCTGCAGGGGAAGAAAAATGCTCCTCAGATCTGTTGCCAATAATAGTTCAGGAGTTTTTGTTGTTGGAAAACTTGCAGGAGCTTGATGAAATCTCTGTTCCTGTGTGCCCTTATTAACAGCACAGATCTTGAGTTCCCTTCTTGCTTTCTGCTTTCATATTATTGTATTATATTGAAGCCTGCTCAAAGATGGTGGCAGGAGTTTCGGGAAGAACAAGTAGGAGGAAATTGCTATGCATATATGTGGTGCTTAGACATCGGGTCAAATTTTTCATAGTGGATTATTGAAGAAATTGCGATTGCAGAAGTCTTTTGGCTGAGTTGAGATGTTACATGAAACCATAGTGCTCAAGCATTGGGCTAATGCATTTGCTCTTCCAGCGTCATGAGGTGCGTATTGGAAGCTTTAATTTCAGTTTTCAACTAACTGTAGTGTGTTATGTCTGAATTCAAAATGTTGTTAGTCTTTCCTATGGCTTAGACCAGGCATCCCCAAACTCGGCCCCCCAGGTGTTTTGGGACTACAACTCCATCACCCCTGACCACTGGTCCTGTTAGCTAGGGATCATGGGAGTTGTAGTTCCAAAAACATCTGGAGGGCCAAGTTTGGGGATACCTGGCTTAGACTAGCAAATTGGGATTACAAACCACAGTTTGAAGTTAGTTTAAACCAGGCATAGGCCAACTCAGCCCCCCAGATGTTTTGAGACTACAACTCCCATCATCCCTGACCACTGGTCCTGTTAGCTAGGGATGATGGGAGTTGTAGTCCCAAAACACCCGGAGGGCCAAGTTTGCCTATGCCTGGTTTAAACCATACTTAAGACTAATCACTGTTTCTCAGAGAATGGACATAGCAACAGATTGCTGTTAATTGGAAACAGAAACACAAGCTTCTAATCTCATTGTGGCTGCACCAGAGGAAGAGAGTGGAGAGGAAACACACAACACCTACCCATTGCTTCTTGCTACAGTTGATTGATCTATATTTGACACATGCCAAACAATTTAAAAGATGATTCTGAAGAGATCATGAAAACGTTTCTGTGTTTCTAATGCTGTCGCTTATGTCCTAATCAGAAGTCGGCTACTTAACTGAGCAGTGAGTTTCTTAACTGAAACTAGAATTTAGATTTCTTTATTCTTTAAGTCTGTTTTTAGGTTTGCTTCCTGCAGGGTTGACTGCTGCTAACAAAAGGATGTCTGCAGTTTTGAGCAAAATACATTTAAGAAGCAAAATTAGAGATGAAGTTTTCCCACTCTCCCACCCCAGTGAGGCTCTACAGGGCTAGCCCTGCCACAATTCATGTCACTTCTTGTTGTTAAGAGTAAAATGCTTC